CTAAAAAAGAACCAAATTTAGTGGCGCCAAGAGATTTGGTGAAGATATCAGCCAGTTGATGATGAGTGGACACATAGGAGGGTTGGATATGATTGTGTTGTATTTCATCACGAATAAGATGACAATCCACTTCAATATGTTTTGTCCATTCATGAAACACAGGATTCTTGGCAATGTGAAGGGCAGCTTGGTTGTCACAGTAGAGAGTCATAGGGTCGGTGTGAGTAATGCCTAGGCTCGAAAGAAGGCCTTGAAGTCATTTCAACTCACATGTCGTGTTGGCCATAGAACGATATTCTGCCTCAGCGGATGATCGAGAAACCGTATGTTGCTTCTTGGTTTTCCAGGAAACGGGGATTGACCAAGGAAAATAAACCAACCTAAGTGAGAGATCTTCGAGTTAGAGGACAACTTGCCCAGTCCGAGTCACACCAACCATAAAGACGAAGGTCATTCTCTCTTTTTAAAAGCACACCCTGACCTGGGCTGCCCTTTAAATAGCGTACCACGCGGAGTGCAGCCCGCCAATGCTCCTGACGCGGTTGGTGCATGAATTGAGATAGGACATGAACACCGTAAGATAATTCAGGTCGTGTAAAACACAAGTAAATAAGGCGACCGACGAGACGTCGATATTGACTTGGGTCGGAAAGTAGTTCGCCATCGCCAATGCTAAACGATGATTTTCTTCGATTGGCGTGGACACAAGTTTCCCTCCAAGCAATCCTGCTTCAGCTATGATGTCCAACGCATACTTCCGTTGACACAAGAAAATTCCTCGTAGGAGATCCGGCAACCTCCACCCCAAGAAAGTATTTTAATTTCCCTAAGTCCTTCATACGAAAACATTGATGAAGATAATCTTTGAATTGCGCAATGTCTTCATGATGATTGCCGAGCAATGACTAGGTCATCCACGTAAACTAACACAACCAGCTTCGACATCTCCTTTGCGAAAGATGAACAAGGAGTGATCGACGAAGAACGTTGAAACCCATATTGAACAAGAGCGAGTTGAGAGCTTGGCAAACCAACACCGAGGAGCTTGACGAAGACCATAAAGGGACTTGCGGAGACGACACACCATACCCTTTTGAGACACCAAGAACCCCGGCGGCATTTTCATGTACACATCTTCCTCAAGATCGCCGTGCGTAAAAGCATTATGGACATCCATTTGATGAAGTTCCCAGTCTTTGGCTACTGCCACTCGCCAACACTCGTCCGAATGGTGACCATCTTTGCCACTCGGGCAAAAGTCTCGTCATAGTCAATCCCCTCAACTTGGTGATTTCCCAAGACAACTAATCGGGCTTTGAAGCGTTCAACGCTCCCATCGGAATGATATTTGATTTTATAAATCCACTTGCAACCCGGAGGCTTCTTCCCGCCTGTAGAGGAGTAATGTCCCATGTTTCATTACTTTGGAGGGCCTGAATTTCACTAGCCATGGCATCTCTCCATCTAACATCCCGAACAGCTTCAAAGAAATGCACAGTGTTCTCTCTCGCATGAAGGGCTGCAAGAAAGGTTCGGTGGGGAAGGAGAATTTAGCACAATTTAAGTACTTTGTCAAACCGTAAGGCATACCCGAGGAAGCCGAATGTGGAGTGCGAATTGAGGGACCGAGTTGTAAAGTGGTGTTAGTGACATAATCACGAAGCTTCACGGATGGCTTTCGTACACGAAGACCTTTCCCCATGGATGCAGTGGACAGTATGCTCCTCGGGAACCTCTAGTTCTGTCATCATAGAGTCGGCTTGTTCCGGTGGGAGAACGATCCGGGTGGGAGGCTCTTGTTCATGGCATTCAGCCGTGGCCCTCCCCGACCTCGCTTGTGGGCACATCTTCCGTTGTGGGGTTAACGTCATCGGCCTCCACAACGTGTTCCGCATTGTTCACCGCACCAAGTCCAGGCAATGCTTCCTCGACAATGCCAACATCAACAGTAGGCAATCCTACCTCCGAATGTCTACCGTGGGCAAGAGAGGCAAACGGGAATTCATGTTCTACAAACTTAACATCTCTCGAAGTCCGAAGACTTCTCTTTCCGAGATCAAACAATTTCCAGCCCTTTTTTCGATTGAATATCCAACAAATACATTCTTGCGACTTCTACTTTCAAATTTGTCACCTTTCCTATCTTGGTTATGTGCATAACACAAGCATCCAAATACCCGTAGATGGTCATAAGTGGGTGGCTTCCCATTCAATATTTCATATGGAGTTTTTCCATGGAGAACGGTTGAGGGTGTACGATTGATCAAGTATCCTGCGGTCAAAATGCATTCTCCCCGAATTGAAGTGGAAGTTCTCCCTGAAATCGTAGAGCACGAGCTACATTTAGGATGTGTCGATGTTTTCGTTCGGCTCTCCCATTTTGCCGAGGTGTTCCAAGTGCATGAGGTTTGATGGAGTATCCCATGTTGCTCGAAAATATCGTTGAAGACACATAAACTCGGCTCCATTGTCACTTCGTAATATTTTGACTTGTTTCTCGTATTGTCGTTCTATTAAGGCGATGAAATGCATTAAGGTTTGTGACACATCTTTCTTATTATTCAAGAGATATATCCACACAGCTCGAGAACAGCCATCAACCAAAGTGAGAAAGTAAGATGCACCACAAGACGAGGGAGTTCTATATGGACCCCATACATCACAATGTATTAAATCAAATATATTGGATGCTTGAAAATCACTTAAAGGAAATGTGTTTCTGCATTGCTTTGATCTCTCACACACTTCACACACACGAGTTGTATCCGTATTTCTATTCACGCTGTTCGAGATGCGGAATTTTTCTAACAATCTGGTAGGCAGGATGTCCCATTCGCTTGTGCCAAATCTCTAGTTGATTTTCTCGCATTGGTCCGATACGCCTTTATGCCACTCACACCACGATACCAATAGAGTCCCTCTTTTCGTTCACCCGCACCAATCAAGCATCCTCGAAGTGTGGTCCTGCATTGCACAAAATCTATCGAGAAAATGTACTGTACATTTTACTTCATTCGTCAATTGTGATATCGAAATCAAATTGCAATTCAATTTCGGAACATATAGAACATGTTTAAGTTTCAGTCCTCCATCAAGGAAAACCGATCCTTCTTTGTTTGCCAGCACCAATTCACCATTTGGTAGTCCCACTGGGCACCCTTCCAAGGCTCGACTCTCCCTCAAGTTTTCTAGTGTTCCTGTCATATGATTAGAGGCGCCACTATCAATAATCCACAAGTCACATGCTTTCTTACCAGTCATCTTTTCAGCTTCATTTGCCTTGCGAGAATTCAACATTGTTGCCAAGATCTCGCCATTGCTCATTACTCAGCTCCTGCGACTTCGGTTTTTCGGTTGAACCAACGTTATCCGCACCGAGTGTGCGCCATATTGACGCGAGCCGTTCCTCCTTTTCCTCGGAAGGTTCCTGTTCTTTGTTGATTTTTTTCATCGTTTTTATCGGTTCGTGGTCTCTCTCCCCACCATTCTGGGTAACCAATGATCTTGAAGCAATTGCCTTTGTCATGTCCCTTCCTTCCACACTCGCATGCAAACAACTGATTTTTCTTTCGCTTCATTGCGCAACTTGCTCCCGGTTTCCGCTCGCATAGCCATTCCCACGATCATTCCTCGCTCTTCTTTAGACCTGGTGATTGTTCTCACCCTTTCTTCTTGCACCATGGTGCCATACACCCGATTCAACGAGGGTAATGGATCTGTTGCCAAAACATTTGACCGTGCAGTTCCATAGCCCTCATCATCTAGCCCCATCAAGAACTGATGAATTTTTCTTCTTCTCTTCGTTTCTCAAGTTGCGTCATAATATTACACTTGCATCCCCCACATCTACACTCGTGGGATTTGCTCGTAATTTGCCAGTTCATCCCACAACGTTTTCAACTTCCCATAATAGGAAACCATAGTCATTCCTTGTTGTTTGCATTCTGCCAACACTGACTTTAGCTGCTGGATTCTTGGTCCGTTCACGATCGAGAATCGTTCCTTGATGTCATCCCATAGGTCCTTTGCGTTTTCCATGTATGCAACAGTGGAACGCAAACTAGGTTCTATAGTGTTTAGTATCCAAGATACAAGCATCGATTGAATTGTCCACCAATCTTCTATCTCAGATGTGTCTTCTTCAGGTTCCTTATGAGTTCCATCTATGAAACCCCATTTCCTTCGAGCCCGCAGAGATATCTTCATGGCCCTTGCCCATTCCTCGTAATTCTCTCCTCGTAATTGTACCTGTGTAATCACATTTCCAGGATTATCACTGGCACTCAGATCGTATGGCGATGGTGTTTTCTTCACCGTCTCTCCTCTCTCTGCCATTTTAGAAGTACGACTGTGTTCTCGGGCTGTTGGATATCAGAGTTTGGCTCGCTCTGATACCATGATAAAAATATTTCCAAAAACCCCTGTCTCGTATTGAATATGATAGCACAATATATACATGAAATACAGAAACATTCTAGGCTATAATTACGCTAACCATTATAGTCGGTATCCTAAATTTGTCTATTAACAGATATGACATTAATGTGCATCACTGTGCATCGCTGTCATGCCAAGCTAAATATGAAAAAAATTAATCATGTAGAATCATGGCATGATACGGTATTTGTAATTGTATATTCTATGTTTATCATCAATTTTTCCAACAAATAAGTCGGAGGAATGGTTGGATTACCAAACACATTGTATATCATAATATATAATATATAAATGAGTGTGTTGAATAATTGAAAAGAGAGAGGGGAGTTTGATATCCTACTTTTGAATCCCCATTCCTGATACTAACCAACCACCACCAAGAACACAGTAGTCCAATTACATAAGATGCAGCATGTTTAATCAAAGGAAGTTGAGCTAACATAATGAACAAATGGCAAAAGGGTCTCACACTAACATGAAGTGAGTCATGGTCTATAAAAGGAAGCCACTAGTGTTTGGAATATGCACACTTGATTCCTCGTATTGAAACCAGACATGGCCTCTCACAGTTGCATGATCGTGGTCTTTTTCATTGCCATTTCCTTCTCAAGCATTGAGATGGCATTAGCTTCACGCCATCTCCTGCAGACAACATTGCCAAATTTGCCTACAATCCCATCTCTGCCACAGCCCTCTATTCCTAACATCAACATTCCAACTTTCCCACAGCTCACTCTCCCTCCACTTCCACCCACTAACTTGCCTTCATTCCCCACCATTATTCCAACCACTTTCCCTTCCCTCCCCTTCCTCTCTCCACCACCTTCAACCACCACCTCCCCATGAACCTCCTCTCCCTTCACTTCAACACACTCATAATCACTACCCTCTACTCTCTACCCTGGATTTGGATTCTAGCTTCCTCTCATGTTTAAGCTATGTACTACACAACACACATGAATTAGTTTATTACTATGTTTCCTATATGCTGTAATTTATCTTTTCAATCTTCTGTTTGTATTTGCATTTGAATACGTGTATCTTCTGTTGAACTTCTGCATTACTTCGTGTACCTGGAGACCATTACTTGTTAATGTTTATTTATTCAACTTCAACTTCGTAAGTTGCAATGGGCTATTCTTAACGAGAACAAACAAAATTTATTTATTATCATATTACTTAACTGATTATTTTAAAAATTAAGTGATTTATTTAGCCTTGTTTTTAAGAGTTAAATATGATTTTTGTCTCTATATTTTCCATCAAAAATGATTTTGGTATTCATATTTTAAAACTTCATTAATTAGTTTAAATTTCAAAAAACAATATATATATATATATATATATATATATATATTTAATTTTTCTATCAACTTAATGACACTGAAAAATTATTATTAAATATAAATTTAAGAATAAAGAATTATTAAAATTATATATTATATTAATTTAATTTTTGTAAATATTTATAAAAGTAAAAAATATCACTAAACATTAAATTTTAAATATAAAAATTAAAATTATGGATTAATTCATCAACTTGAGATTGTAAAGAAAAATAAAAACAAGTTTAAAAAAAAAAAACACAAGAACAACAATATATTTCCCTATTTTGAATATAGTTTCAAAAGAAAAATCTAAGAGGTAAAATATTACTAAGTTGATCGGTTTGTTCCCTAACCCCTTCCTCTATTCATCCTCTTTTTTCTTTTTCTTTTTCCTCGCAGTATTTGAACACTAAAAAAATTTGACTTTATACATATTTTAAATTTTCTTACATACAAACAAAACTGGAAAAAAAAAATTGTGTTTATTATGCATAGGCATATACAAGTTTTAACTCGAAGTACAAGCTAGTACTTGGTGCTCTGAACTAGAAAGATTTTCCTAACTGGAATAAAACATCATTCTCTTTTTTAAATTTTATAAGGTGCCAAAAGACAAAGATAAGAAGTTACAATCATTCTTGGAAGGTCATGTTAATCCAAATAGTTTTTTAATTATTATTACCGTTAAATTTATCCTCAAGAATATGACTATGTTTGGTTAGGGGGTAAAAATAAGAATATAAAATTAATTAAATTTATCTTACAAATTAAAATCAACTTATTATAAAAACACTCTTGTTTGAGAAATTGAAATTGAGAGGAAAGAAATGAGAAGTAAATTCAGAGGAAGCAGAGAAGAGAAAAAGAATGTAGTTTCTATACGTTAAAAGAAAATTCTTATTGATGGGAAGAAAATGGACAAAATAACATAAAAGTTGTGGGATTCACTTAAAATTATAATTAATATTTTATTCTTTCTATATCCTCAAAATCTATATATACAGAGAATAAGTTTCATTTCAAGAGATATGTTTTTTTTACTTACCAAATGAATTTAATGAAAACTCAATTTTACTTTCTTTTTAAACATTTTAAAATTTGTCTTTTCTTTATATTGTCTTATACATGAACACCCAAAAATACAAAATTCCTATACTTAATTACATGACTTATATTTTAATATTTAATGAAAGAAAAACTCAGTAAAAAAGGTTTTTTAATATTTTAAAGGGTGTCTTTATTTTTTTTTATATTCAATTATTTTCCTTTTTTTCCCTATTTTAGTTATTTCGTTTCTACTTTTCTTTTTATTAAAAAAAACATAAAAGACAATTTTAATTTATGAGCAGTTTTATAAATATTTATTGATAAGTCTATTTAGTCTCTGAATATTCATATAAATATGTACACAACATATAATTAATAACTCTACCGATTAATTACAAATCAAGTAGTGCAATTCTTCAATTATTTCTACACATTAATGCTACAATTTATTGGTAAACATTATTGTTGAAGAAAAATAACGACAATGGTACAAAATAGTATACAAATTTACCTTTTTTAATAAATAATGCATTAAAGAAAGACATATAATGGCAAGAGAGGTCAACTAAATTTAGATAACCAACTCCCAGAGATTAATCCCTCGTCTCCAACTCAAATTCTTCCCAGAGCTACCAAATCCTTCAATAATTTAATCCCTTTTTACTTTGGAATAACATACAAAACAGAAAGAGTTGGTCACCACATAAAAAACTAATTTTCAAACTCAACTTTAATTTAACCTAACTAAAGATTGCAAAAACTCTAGTGGTTCTCCAAACCATAGCAACTTTCCAAACTAACTAAAGATTGAAAAACCTCTAGTTCATCTTATACCACCTTTCAAACCTCCCTGGCTCTATATAAGACCAAGCACAAACCTCAAGTCTCACACAATCTCAAGGCAATTTCCCTCTCAAAAGACACTCCCAACTCTTTTCAACTCATCAACCATGGCCTCAAGCAAATCCTTCATCACACCTTTCTTTCTTGTTGTGGTTGTCACCTTCTCAAGCATGAGTTTGAGCTTAGCATCTCGCCAACTTTTGCAAACAACAACAACACCAAATTTGCCTGGCACTTCTATCACTCTGCCTAACCCTACAACACTTCCACCTTTGCCTTCAAACCCAACACTTCCTCAGGGAAATGCTCCTCCTTTGTCCACTATCCCTACCATGCCAAATCTTCCATCACTCCCCAACATTATGCCAACACTCCCTTCTCTCAATCTCCCTCCTATGCCAGCTTCATTGCCAAACTTTCCATCCACCATCCCCTCCTTCCCCTTCTTCTCCTCACCACCTTCTACCTCTAGCCCTTGAACAGCTGCACATGTTGCATTGTGTGCTTAGCATATTGCATGCAATTTACATTGCAGTATATCTTTCGTGTTTGAGTGACAGAACATTGTATTAGGTTATGACTGTACTTTGTTGTTGAGTGTGTGTTTTTTTATTATCTTCTTTTGTATTCTTGAGTTTGGCACTATTGCTTCTACTGTACCTTTTTTTTTTTTTTTATATTATGGTCTATGGATGTTAAACTACACATTTAATTACAATTATGATGTGCTGAACTCTTGTGTATCTAGTTCATACAGTTGAGCCTTTTTGTCTCAACCTTGCAATTTTTTTCAACTTCGTACTAATTAATGGCATTGAGTTTCAGATTTCTTCCTTAAGAAAAAAAATTGCGCCGTAAATTTTCCAATTAATTAGTAAAGAAAATAAGTAAATATAAGTCCTTAATTTAGTTTTTTTGTCTAGTTTTAAAAATAATTTTAGAAATCAATTTTAAAATATTAAAAATAAAATAAAACAATTATTTAATAACTCTATTTTTAAAAATTATTTTAAACAATATAGAATGATATACATGATCACAAAAATCCATAACGAGAATTTATAAAAATAAATAATTTAATATAATTATTGATGAAAATATTGACATCTATTAATAAAAAAAACACATTTAATTAGTTTTACTTGTTTAATATTAAAAAAATAAACTTTAGAAACTATTTTAATAAAACAGTAATAAATTTTTACATTTTTAAAACTTAAAAACTTAGAAAATTATTTTTAAAAAACAGGACCAAAACAAACCCTTATATTCAAAATGAGTAATCATGATCATGAACTTCTTAGTCATCTCTGGGTACAAATTTTTTAAATTTATTATTCTCATAAAATAGAAATACAATTAAAAGTTGCATTTTCTATCTTGAAATGACTGAATTATTCTTTACATGACATATAATAGTTGTGTTTCACTTAATTGAAACAGTCTCTTTACTGTACCATAAATTATATTTATTTTAAATATGAATATAACTAAGAGTTTATAATTTATCAAATATAATGTAACAAGATGTTTACGTTACTCTTATACAAATGCCTCTAAGCACAAATATGCATACATTTTTAATACTCACAAATTTCCTAATAATCTCAAGCCTTGAATTAATGTTCTTTAGCTAATTAATTAGCTTCAATTGTACCCTCAAAATATATTATAAATTCAGTTTTCCTAGTAGAACAGTAATAACAAACTATTTTGTGTTCTTCCATGATATTGCTCTTTTGGTTAGAAGAGATACACATTAATTTTTTTATATCCACAAATATTTTTAAAATGGGTAGATCATTAAACTAGTTAATATATTAGCTTAAGGATGAATGATTTAATTAATGTTGAACCAAATTTAATAATAATAATATTTTTAATTATATAATAATATACTAAACATAAAATATGTTTACCAGTGATTAAAAGTCACCAATTGATTACAACTAAAAGTCTAAAAGTTTATAAATCTAGTTGTAAAGAACTCTTTGATGCTCAAGTAAGTATATGAGGGAGAAGGAGGTAGAGTGTGAGTGAATTTAGTTAAAAGAATAAGATATTGGACCTGTTAATATAGGGGTGGATTATTGAGAATTCAAGTATGAATTTAAAGTTTCATGTTGGGTAGAAATAGGAAAGTTGAATAACTTATAAGTGAGAAAAACGTATAACCTAATGCCTTAAGATTTTTTGTTGAGAGTGGTGTCATATTCTCTTATATGCTTGGATTGCGTCTCATTTATGAGAATCTTCCTGCTGTTAGCCTCCTTGAAAATACCCAACAGTGGTATTATAGTCGATGGTTCGTCCAATGACCGGCTAAATTGAGACTTGATACTCATGGCTAAGAAATGTTTCCGCTCGAGGGGGAAGTATACCAATGTGAAAGGAAATCACACTTGAAGGGAAGATATTGAAAATTCAAATGTGAGTTTGAAGTCTCACATAACAGTGGTATTAGAGTCGATGATTCGTCCAGTGACCGGCTAAGTTGAGACTTGATACTCATGGCTAAGAAATGTTTCGGCTTGAGGGGGAAGTATACCAATGTGAAAGGAAATCACACTTGAAGGGAAGATGTTGAGAATTCAAATGTGAGTTTGAAGTCTCACATTAGATAGAAATGAAAAAGTTGAGTAACTTATAAGTGAGAAAGACTCATAACGTAATACCTTAAGGTTTTAGGTTGAGAATGGTGTCATTTCCCTACTGTTAACCCCCTTGAAAATACCTAATAAGTAATGACACACTAGAGCCCGCCACTAGTCAAAATCATGTTGTTGAAATTTGAAACAAATATTATAAGAAACTATTTTGCAATAACTTATAATTTTTTATATGGAGAGCATGCTAAGTCATTTTATTTATATCTCCTCATTTATAAGAATTAAGACAATATAAGTGTATCATATGACACATTAGTATTATTTTGATTATTTTTTAGAGGAATATTATTGACACTTGATCATTCTTATATATTAACTAATAATATCTCAATCCGATTGTTATGGGAAAATTTATAAATATATCAAAAGAATGAGTTGAAAAGGAATATTGAAGTTAAAGACAAAAATCGATAATGGAGATGGTAAAAATCGAGAGGCTTCGAAAATTGGAAGCTGAGACATCGAAGAATTAATCGAGAGATTTGATAAAGAAATTGAGGGTTTGTAGTGATCGAGGTAAAAATTGAAGAATCATAGAATCGATGATTCATATTAATCGAAGGGGAAAATCGAGAGGAAAACAAAAGTAAGTTGAAGACTTAGAGAATTGAGAAAGATAAGAGATATCAAATTTGAGTTATAGAATCGAAAAATTTGCATAAGCAATTATAACTCCACGACATGACGAGAGATGGTTATAAACTCTACGTGGATAATGGAACTATTTGAGAAAGGAGAAAAATGGTTAATAAGGAGAAAATTGTTTTTATTTTTTATCTGTATTTTATTTTATTTTTTTTAACGGTTACACAAAATAAAGTATAAATATGATCAAATTGTAAACTATTTTGTAGTTTTCCTATGTTCCTAATTCACCAGAAAATTACTCTACATGATCTTTAGATTCATAAATCTCACACATTAACGTACATAAATCATAATAAGAAGACTAACATTGATCCACGAGAGATATCCAATGAGAATGCATTCTTCAATGTCTTTATTCTCTAACCTCTTTTTCTCAATCTATCTTTTTTCCTTTCTTCCTCCCGTCACACTTTTTTATGGTTTACTGTGAAAATAACCTTATGGCCAGATACAAAATCTCAATCTCCTTTTATTAACCAACGTCCATCAAGTTGGTTACCACAAGTTTTTATTTTATTTTATTATAACTTCCCATAATAACCAATATGTTCTTATATTTTGTTAAATCATATTTGGGCCCATCATTATATTTTACATGAGTTAAATTAATTTAATTAATTAATTCTAACATTCTCCCACTTTATTCATGTGATGTCATATCATTGTGTGATTTAATACTTAAGTCATAATGTGCATTAAAGGGTCTTACATAAATTGGTTCTATCTTTATTCATAATTAAATATACAACTATAACAAGAGTCATGACGTTTACATGTTATTCAATCGATGTACTCCCTTCTATGTACTATTATATTATCTCTTTCTTTTTAATATGACTTTACAATGAGAAGCTCATAATATGTTCAAACATAGTGTCATTTCTATAATAATAAAATAATTTTTATTTTCTTCATCATAATTTATTTTCTTCATCATAATTTGTTTTCTTAATCATAATTTGCATGCATATAAATAAAGAATAAAACACAAATTTTAGAAACTTATACATTAAAAATCTTAGAGTGTCACATAAGCATTAATAATAGCATTAACATTCAACATTCACTAGTAAACATAATATCCATATTCTTTATATGGTCAGCAACCAACTTGGGTGATAACCCTTTTGTTAAAGGATCAACAATCATAAGATCAGTGCTAATATGTTCTATTAACACTCTTCATTTTTTAACTTCTTCTTTAACGACAAAGTATTTCAATTCTATATGTTCAGCACCTTTGGAATACTTGTCTTTCTTAGAAAAGAAGACTGTTGCGGAATTATCACAATAAATTTTCAGCGGCTTGGTAATGTTGTTGACTACTCCAAGTCCTAAAATAAAATTTCGCAACCAATTAGCCTGAATTGTGGTCTCAAAGCATGCCACAAATTCAGCTTCCATGATGGATGCAGCAATGACGAACTACTTCACACTTTTCCATGAAATCACTCCTTTGACTAAAAGATACACATAATCAAATGTAGACTTTAGTGTATCCATACAACCAACAAAATCTCAATCTGTATATCCAATCACCTCAAGGTGATCAGATTTCCTATAAGTAAGTATATGATTCTTTGTTCTTTGTAAGTAACTTAAGACTTTCTTTTAAACTTTCCAATGATCCAATCCAGGATTACTCTGGTATCTACCCAACATACAAATTGTAAATCTAATATTTGGTCTTGTATATGTTTGAGTATACATCAAACTCCCAACAACAGATGCATAAGGGATATTTTCCATCTATTTCCGTTCCAAGTCATTTTTTGAACATTGCATGAGACTAGTTTGTATCCTTTCTATATTAGAACGAGAGATGTTGAACACTTATGAATTCTGAATCTCTCTAAAACTTTATTAATATATGTTTTTTGAGACAAGTCTAACAGTCCTTATGATCTATCACAAAATATTTCTATTCATATCATATAGTATGTCTCACCCATATCTTTTATTTCAAAGTTGTTAGAGAGAAACTTCTTAGTCTCACTTAATAGACCAAGATCATTAATCGCAAGTAAGATATCATAAACATACAAAATCGAAATATAAACACTCTCCCACTGACCTTCATATATATATATATATATATATATATATCGATCAACAGTGTTTTTCTTAAATCCAAAGGACAAAATAGTATCATTGAACTTAAGATACCAATGTCGAGAACCTTTTTTAAGTCCATATATTGATTTCTTAAGTTTACATTCTATGTGTTCCCTTCCTTCTTCAATAAATCTCACCGGTTGGTCCATATAAACATCCTCCTCTAAATCTTAGAAAGGCAGTTTTAACATTTATTTGATGCAACTCAAGATCATAATGAACTACTAATGTCATGATAATTATAAAAGAATCTTTCTTAGAAAGAGGCAGAAATGTTTCCTTAAAGTCAATATCATTTTTATGAGTAAAACTTCTACCAGCAAGTTGAGTCTTGTAACGTTCGAAATTGTCGTGAGAGTCATGTTAAGTCTTAAAGACCCAAT